TCTATCTCACACTACATCTTAGAGGAGGGTACATTTAGAAGGTGGATGCTTCTCTCAGGAAGACAGGAGGAGAATGTTTCCTTTAGTGATGTTCGGTGCCTGAGAGGGAGAGGCCCCAGGCTGCCTTTTCTAACCGCATTCGGGGAAGGCCAGTGACACTGCTGCGGCCTGTAGTTTCTGTAACTTGTTTTTGCTGGAATTGCCCTCAGCTCTCTGCAAGGTAACAGTCTGCTTGGGTTTCAGGGGCTGATTTCAGAGTTTCTCCAGGGTACATTTTTAGCTGTCCAAAATCCCCTGAAAAACAATGCTCTCTCTTTGGTGTGATGGAGCCCTGAGCTGTGTGGCCTCTGTGGGATTTTCTTGCTGAGAGGGAGCCCCACGTCTGAACCAGTATTGTTCCAGAGATCAGCTCTGGGAAGGTGGGCGGCAGGAGGGGGCTGGGAACTGCAAATTCCTAGTCCTCAGACAACAAAAAAGTTGTTTCTGTGGGACCCCCCCTTGCCCTTCTGATCTGCATTTCCAGAACAGTCTTTGGTAATGCAGTATTAGATAAAAATCACAGGATTCGATGAAATCAAACCAAAGGGGTGGCCGCTGTTGTCTCCCCCAGACTGAACTCTGGACCCCAGATCCAGAAATGAAGGGCACCCATAGTTTCTCTCTTGAGTAAGCTCGACTGGCCTTGCTAAAAAGGGGAGGAGGTGGAGTGGATTCTGGCATTCTCTGGAGGTTTCTGGCCTGACGGGAGTCTGGAGCATGAGGTAGGGCCTTGCTGACAAAAGGCCTGGAGGCCTGACCTTAAATTTTTGCTCCCACAGTCCTTTCCATTGCCCCGCCTCCTTGAAGCCACAGCCAGGAGGCCTGATACTTTTCCTGCTCTCTTCCCATCTCTTCGCTGACTGCATTTTATAGAATTAGCATCATCACTTCTTTCATCTAATCTCCTCATTTTACACAGAAGGAAATTGCCAGCGAGAAGTTATTTGGGTTAGTGCCCAAGGTCACGCGGGTGTGTTTGTCAGTGAGGTGACTGCCCCAAACAGACCAAGGGCCACCTATTTTTAGCCAAGGCTTTTTTGAGGGTGGTGGTGGGGAGGGCAAGAAACAACTGGCTAAAATGGATTTACCCTCTTACATTTGACATTTTTTTAAATGTTCATTTATTTTTGAGAGACACAGAGCAAGAGTGGGAGAGGGACAGAGAGAGAGGGAGACACAGAACTTGAAGCGGGCTCCAGGCTCCGTGTTGTCAGCATAGAGCCCGACACAGGGGGCTCGAGCCCACAAACTGCAAGATCACGACCTGAGCCGGAGTCGGACTCTCAACTGAATGAGCCACCCAGGCGCCCTTACCCTCTTATATTTGAGTCGTTAGGCTCAAATGAAGACTAAATTACAGATTCAGGTGATACTGAATATGGAAACACCAGTGGGGAGACCAGTTGCCATCAGAGATTCTGAAATTGAAAGGAACTGGGATGCAGGCCAGAGAGGAGATGCCTTGAAAAAATGTAGTTTTATGTTAAAGGGATCCTCAAGGGGCTGAGAAAAGGGCACATAATCAAACGTGTGTTAATATCTTCACCAAAGAATGTGGTGCTTAGGGGCCATCTTGTTGAAACGAACCTTCCGGGAAAGAAGGGACTCACTATATAAAGAGGAGGAAGGAATCAGAATACTTTGGAGACAGCAAAAGCTCCCTTTGTCAAACAAAAGCTAGGAGAGATGAAGTCAATAAATGCTTGGGCCTACATAGTAAAAACGGGGGTGAGAGTCCACAATCTCCTCCAAAATAGCACTCACCCACCAACTGGTACAAAAAAATTCTCTCTCGCCTTGGCAAGTCTCCTCTCTTGGCACAACAGATTCCTGAATGCTGACCTTCATTCCCCAAACCCATGGAGACTTGACCAAGTGATACGCAGCCATTTTAACAGTATGAGGAAAATGCTATAGTCTATAAGGGAATGGAAATGACTTCTTTTGCAATTCTGACAGTTACCTAAAGCACTGAGAGTCTCTTCTTCATCTCACGAGCTCCAGGGTGGGAGAGAAAGAGCACGGATGACAGACGAGGCCCTCGGCTCTCCCCCAGCCCTGGAGAAGACAGCAGTGGAAGCTGACAGAGGCACAGGGAGAGGGCCCGGAGGGGTGGGTGGGACGGAGGTAGGAGAGAGGAGGAGGGGAGGCAGCCTGAGGTCAAATTCTGGGATGCAAGAATAGGTTCGGGTACTAATTAGCTGTGTCCGATTTTAGCCCGATCACAAACTCCCCAAGCTCCCAACTCCCCATTTGTAAATCGAGGTGACCCAACTCCTTTTTCCTCCTTCCAGCGCTAAAAATCCCACCAAAACTTTTCCAACCCAGAAAAAACATCAAGTCTGTGTCTGAAGGGAATCCTGTGCGTCTCAGTAAAATTCCACTCTTAAAGGGAAAGTGGGGAAGAACGATTAGATTATACAAGAACAGTTTTGCCAGGGTCAGTCGGGTGTGTGTGGGGGGGGGGGGGGGGGGGGGGGGGGGGGCCCCCCGGCCCCTTTGCCCCCCCGCCCTCCCCCTGCCCCCATCCCCCGCTCCCCCCCCCACGCCTGCACAAACCGTCATTTACAGGAGCCAAAGGGGTTTTTAAAAACAGAAACAAGTTTGCACAATTGCCATGTCATTCCTAAGTTGCCACCCTAACCTAGACCTTGTCATTGAACTCCACCTTCCCCTCTCTGAATTTATGCCATCTTGCAGATTCTACAAGAAAGCTCCTGGAGGTGAGAGAGGATGGGTGTCCCACCCTGTCCCCGAGCTCCTCACTCTCGCTACATCATTTTCTTTTCCAAAAACCCAGCCAGCTGCCAGGTCTCGGAGACCCTCTTCCGCCTCCTGCATCCTAGACTAGTAAGACCCGGCGCCACGCAAACACCCGAAGTGTGTTACAATAAAGAAACAGCATTTGCTAACGACAGGGGGATCCTGTGCGGATTTTCAACTAACGGATGACTTGGATACAATATGGAGGAACGACAAAGGCCAGGAAAGGGGAAGGAAAGGCAGACGTGGGTTGCAAAGGGAGGGAGAGCAGCAGCCACAAAAAGGGAAGAGCAGCTCGAGCGTGGCCAACAGCCGAGGCTCGGCCGGGAAGCCCCCTGTCCAAACCCAGCTTCCCCCCTACCCGGCCCCCTCCACCATTCTCTGGCACTAGAACATGGTCTGGGGGCGGGGCGGGGTGCGCACGCGCACTGGCGCGCTGCGTCAACCACCACCGCTCAGGGAGGCGGCCGGGACCGGCTGGAGCCGGTTAGAGCCAGCGGTGCCCGCCCGCGAGCCGAAGCCTCACAAAGCGAGGCGGCGGCTCACGGCCCGCGTATCCCTGCGCCGGGCGGGTGTGGGGGTGCGGTGCGGCACCCCTCCCCCAGCCTTTGTCCCCGTTCTGGGGCCGCGGGCAGCCCGGGCTTCGGGACGAGCCGGTGCCCGCTGTCCTCCCCGTGGTCCCGATGGCCCGAGGGTCCTGGGCGCGGAGCGGAGCCTGGCCGGACGGAGCCGGAGCGGACGTGACCCCCTCACAGGCCGCCTCGCCCCGTGCTTCTCCGCGCAGCCGCCTTAGCCGCGTGGAACCCCCCTGCCCACCCCCACCCCACCCCCACCCCCACCCCCACCCCACCCCCACCCCACCCCACCCCCACCCCCGCAGCGCCATTGTTTCCACATCCTCTGGCCTCGCCCCGGAGTCACATCCCCTTTGCGTCCCTGGGAACCGAGGTGTTTTTTTTCCAGAATCCTTGCAACGCGGTGCTTAGTTAGCTTTCCCTTTAGTTGGGAAGCTCCGGGGGGTGCTTTGAAAGCAAAACGCGGACTGTGCAGAAAGGAAAGGCTTTGGGTCGGGGGAAAGCCTTTTGTATCCTTTGCACGTCCGGTTTAGAAAATCGGGAGAATGGAGCCAAGCCAGGGATCATGCAGACTCTAAAACACACGGTAAAGCAAACCCATAAGCAAAGCTTCGGGAATATTCGAGAAGACGTTCCCGAACTGGGTGCCCAAGGTCGTTATGTCTTTGGAGGTGAAACTCGTGAGACTCGGTTTTGCCAGCGGATTGGGGTATTGATAACTTTAGCGAGAAGACTGGAAGCCCCGATACGGCTCACGTTTGGACGGAACAAAGTGTAGGCATGATCCAAAAAAAAAAAAAAAAAAAAAAAAAAAAAACAAAACAAACCAACCAAAAATGGTTGGGGGACGTCTAGCAAGCATTTACACAAAGCCAGGAAGGGTAAGCGTGTGAAGGAAGGAACGCCAGCCCACCGGGATGCGTTAGATCTCGGCAGCTCTTGTTGCAAGAGACAGCAGCACACAGAGGCCAGTAGAGGCCCTTTCTGGAAGCGATTTCTACATTTAGTAGAATTCTTAAGCAGATAACCCCAGGCTGCTCGGGCTTCTCCAGTAACAGGGCAATCAGAACGCGTGCAGTATAAGCTCAGCACCAACCCGCAGGACCCCAGGCGGTCTGGGGGACAGAGGGACACCTTGCCGCTCCTAAAATGGCTGCGGCGTTTTCCAGGCTGCTGCTGGGTTACGTAATGGAGATGAAGGCCGTCGGTAAACCCATTGTAACCTTTCTTCAAAAAGCATTACATAGTACCTACTGTACTCCGGAGGAAACATGACAGGCATTTTAAAAGTTGCGAAAAAACTCCCAAGTAATGGGTGTGGGGTTTTTCGGAGGGGGGGGGGTGCTGTTTGCTGTTTGGTCTACTTATGTGTGATTCTGTTTTTGCCTGCATTTTCAACTCAAATGTGCTGGCTAGTTACGTTTTAAAATACGCGTGGGTACCTAGTGTGCAATCAAGTTGCGTGAACTGTCACGAAAAATCTGGAAAGTCTTGTAAAACTGGATTCTATTTTTGACCCGGCCCTGGAACTATTTTTGTTTCCCTCACAAAGGCGGCGGAGGGTTATTGAGATCGCGGTGTGAGCCGTCATTCGTCTATAAATACGCCTCTCCGGGGCTCTGCGGCAGGCTTTCAGGCAGCGAGCGCAGAGGCGGCTGGGGAGGCAGGAGGCACTGCCTGAGGAGATTGCAGATAAGTTTTTCTCTTAAAAAGAGATAGACAGGAATTGATACGATTCTTTAGGAAACGTAAATAGTGCTAATGCTTATTGAGATATTGCTTAGCATGAAACTCTTAGAGTAATTTAATCTTAAAAAGATCTGTAAGGGAAAAGATGAAGACTTCTAGGTTGAGAAAGAGGAAAGATCTTTCTAGAACAAGACGGAGGTTAAGAGACGAAGCTTCTTCATGCAGTGAAAAAACTTAGGCTTTAAAAATTGAGGCCAGAACTGCCAAGCCCGGGATTCAAAAAAAAATCCTTAAATTGAAGGGCAGCCGTGTAGATTGACGTTAAAAATGTAAGCGACCTAAACAGGGCCTAAACGCTATTTTAAAAAGACGAGTTGTAGACGATTAAAAAATTTTTTAAGTTTATTCTAAAAAGATTTAAGTTGAAGGTGCCTTAAGAGATAGGCCTTCAAATTCATGGCGCAGGGAGGATTGCATCATTTGAAACCTAGTTCTTAAAATGACAAATACTAATTGGAAGTAGTAGGATAAAAATTTGGAGAGCTTAGAAAATTGAAGTGGAGAACTCAGAAGACAGAAGTACAGGAAGGTGAAGACTTAAAGACAAGTACAGGAAGGTGAAGAAAAGACTTAGAGAAGATAGGAAAACTGGAAGAAAAATTACGGCTTTTAGAAGACAGAAAATTAAAAGTCCAAAGGGAGGAAGCAGAAGAAAAGGTGTGTTTAGACAAACTAGAAAACCAAGGCAACTAAGGTCTCAGATTACAAGTTCAGGAGAAAACCAGAAGTTGGAAACGAGGTGGAAGATACCTTCAGGGAAAGTATTTCAGGTAGAATACGAAAAGCTAGGACAACTATTGAGCGCAAGCTTAGAAGATAGACGTCAAAAAGAAGATAGAAAAGGTTAAAGCCAAAAACAAAAAATTGGATTAAGTACAAGAACAGGAAAACTAAGGAGGAAATTAATATTTATTAGAATTTCTTATAAACGCCCATGAATTTACTTTCTGGTGATGCAGAAGCTAGATTTGAGAAGATGAGGGTGTTAAAACAACTATAGACCGGCGCCAACTTAGAAGAATTATTCAGAAGCTAGAAGGGGAATCAGTTTAAAATTACAGCGTTTCATGGCCTTGGTACTAAAAAGACTTGAAATTATTTAAGAACCAAGGTAGCATATTTTTGGAGAGCTAAAAATTTCAAAGTCTTTAAATGCAGTAGCTTAGTGTCTTTTGGAAAATTTAAAGAACTTTCATAACTGGAGTAATTCAAGATCAAGAATAACTTCCAACTTAACATTTCTGCATTGGACTTTGGGCTAAGATGATTTTAAATCCTGAGGACTAGCGTAATTGGCAGCTGACCCAGGTGCTACGCAGAAGTGGATTCAGTGAACCTAGGAAGACAGGAGCAGCAGACAGGATTCCAGGAACCAGTGTGTGGTGAAGCTAGGACTGAGGAGCCAGCTGCAGTTCGTGGTGAAGATAGGAAGGAAGGAAGGAAGGAGAAGTCCAGGAGCCAGTGCGGTTTGGTGAAGGAAGCTAGGAAGAAAGAAGGAGCCCTAACGATTTGGAGGTGAAGCTAGGAGAGAGGATTCCAGGAAGGAGGAGGAGCCAGTGCGATGTGGTGATGAAGCTAGCGAGCGGCTTGGCGGCTGTGGCTCGGTGACCACGAGGAGCGGCGAGCAGGCGGTGTGGAGGATAGATAGAGGATCCTAGAGCAGCAAGCATCCCAGTGTGCAAGGCCGCAGGGAGAGCGAGCGAGCGAGCGAGTGGTGTGGTAAAAATCCGTGAGGTCGGCTAATGTGTTTTTCGTAACTGGAGTATGGTAACCTTTATTTGTTTTTCCAATGGTAACGGGGGAGTTGTGTGTCTAAGCGCCAAGGGATTTGACGGGGTGTAGGCCGATTCCGGGTGTTGTAGGTTTCTCTTTTTCAGGCTTGTTTTCTCATGCATCTTGTCTGAAGCTTTTGAGGGCAGACTTCCAAGGCCCGGAGGAGTGGTAGATGGCAAGTTTTTTTTGTTTATAACCAATTTGATTTGAACCAAATGAATTTGATAGAACAACTTTGAGACAAGATTTTGGCAAGTTTTGTAAGAAGTTTTAATTTTTAGCTTGGGGTAATGAAGCATTTCAGTTTTGTGAATAGATGACCTATTTTTCTTCCCTCACCCTGTATTAAAGTTATGTAAATGTGGAGTTTGGGTGTGTAACTCTGGGGGGGGAAGTTTTCTTGTGGGGATGGGGGGGGCAAAATATGTTTTGAGTTCTTTTCCCCTTAGGTCTGTCTAGACTCCCAAAGGCAAATGACTCAAGGTAACAGAAAAAAAGAAAATCCAGTATCAGGATAATCAGAACACCACAGGTTTACAGTTTCTAGAAACTAGAGCACGAGCAGCTCTCACTTTTGAGTTCTGTGGCGGAGCTGTCCATTGGAGAAATGGCTGGTAGTTACTCTTTTTTTTCCACCCCTTTGTCAGCTTTTTAATACATAACCCTTTAAATTTGTCATATTTACTTATTTTGGGGTGGTCTTAACAGGGAAGAGGGTGGGGGAGAAAATTTTCTTTCTAAGATTTTCCACAGATGCTATAGTACTATTGACAAACTGGGTTAGAGAAGGATTGTACTGCTATGCTGTTGGCACGAACACCTTCAGGGATTGGAGCTGCTTTTTTCCTTGGAAGAGTATTCCCAGTTGAAGCTGGAGTGGTACAGCACAGTGCAGCTTTGGTTCATATTCAGTCCTCTCAGGAGCACTTCAGAAGAGCTTGACTAGGCCAAATGTTGAAGTTAAGTTTTCAAGTAACGTGACCTTTAAAATCACTTTTATTAAAGGGGAGGGCAAATTTTGGCAATTGGTAGTTGGCAGTGGCCTGTTAATGGTTGGGATTTGGGAGGGTTGGGGTTAGGTAATTGTTTAGTTTATGATTTCAGATAATTCATGCCAGAGAACTTAAATACTTAGGATGGAAAAACTAAAGAAATCTCAACTTCCAAGTTGGCAAGTAACTCCCGATCCTCTAGTTTTTGTTTTCCCCCAATGTTTGAATTGGGCAGCTGGGGAAGTTCATGAAGATCCATTGGATTCACAGTGTAGGGCTTGGGGAAGGAAAGTACAGGACTGGGGGTTGGTCTAGCCCACTGGCTGACTTAGAAACTTTGGGAACTTTGAAAAATGACTTAAAGTTGTTTGGATATGGTAGTGTGTGGTTCTCTTTTGGAATTTTTTTCAGGTGATTTAATATAACTTAATACTACTGTAGGAGCTTCAGAGCAAAGGAAGTGGCTTAATGATCCTGAAGGGATTTCTTCTGATGGTAGCTTTTATATTCTCAAGTAAGATTCTATTTTCAGTTGTGTATAAGCAAGTTTTTTTCTTAGTGTAGGAAAAGTATTTTTCTTTTGTATGACTGCAAACAAGATGCTAAGGTATGCTTCAAAATTGCTGTAAATTGTGTATTTTAATCATAACTGATACAGAGGGTGGGTCTTTGTGGATGAGGGAGGGGAAACCTTTTTTTTCTGTAGACTTTTTTCAGATAACTTCTTCTGAGTCATAACCAGCCTGGCAATATGATGGCCTAGATGGAGAGGGAACAGCTCCTTGGTGAATGATAAGTAAAGGCAGAAAAGATTCTATTTCATACCTCCATTGGGGAAAAAGCATAACCTTGAGATCCTTACTACTGATGAACGCATGGTCTGCATATGCAAAAAAAAAAAAAAAAAAAAAAAATTAACCAAATGAAACTACCAATTTAAAGTTAATGGAATCTACCATTTAAAAGTTCTGGCCTATCAAGCTATACCCACACACAAAAATGAATTGATGAGAAATAATATAATGAATTGATGAGAAATGCAACGAAGATCAAGTGTCCATCTCAAAATGCTGCTTTTACAAAAGCAGAATAAAGAAATGAAATGAAAATAATACTACATTAATCGTGGAATAAAAGAAGCTGAAATAATTCAGAGTGGGATCAAGTGGATTGAGAGGAGGAGGCTGTGCTGTTTGCCAATCTTTCGTTTGCCTCAGACAGGTTTCTCTTCATTATCAGAAGAGTTGCTTCATTTCATCTGGGAGCAGAAAACAGCAGGCAGCTGTTAACAGATAAGTTTAACTTGCACCTGCAGTATTGCATGTTAGGGATAAGTGCTTATTTTAAATAAGAGCTGTGGATGTCTTGAGTATTGAACATGGCCGTTTTTCCTGATCCCTTCCCTAGGGGATTCCAGGATTGTGAGGAATTTTCCCATCTAGCCTTTGTAAAGTTAGACAGGACTTGTACCTGTGGGCTTCCATGATGGGATCGCACACCTCACTCAGGCAAGTAATTCCTAAAAGCCTTGAGGGTGGTGCCTTTATATAATAAGGCGGCGTTTTATAAAACTAAGAAAACTTGTTTAGCATTGAATCGCTTAAATCCTACAAAAGGATAGCATAATGTGTTAAGAATCGGATGCTGTTAATCTTGCTAAAATTTAATTGTGTTGTGATGTACGTTGTGCAGAAAACATAAAATCGTTCAAAATAAAACCATTTTAATATAGAGAATGTATGCTTTTAGAAAGCTGTCTCCTCATTTAAATAAAGTATTGTTTGTTTGTAGTTAGTGTTGGGCAATCTTGGGGGGATTCTTCTCTAATCTTTCAGAAACTTTGTCTGCGAAACACACTTTAATGGACAAGATCAGGAATTGAGCGGAAGAACGAATTTAACTTTAAGGCAGGAAAAACATTTTATCCTTCGTAAAGTGATGAGCATTTAATAATTCCAGGCACATGGCAATAGAGGCCCTCTAAATAAGGAATAAATACCTCTTAGACAGGTGGGAGAGTATGATCAGAATAACAGGTAACTACACCAACACTGTTTCTAGAAAGTCAGGGGTCTATAAATTGACAGTGGTAGAGTAATACAATACTGTCCACATTCCAGAGTTTGCATGTTAACTTTTAAATGCTTATAATCATCTCATCTGGTGTTAGCCAACGTTTATACAACTGGCCTTTCATATAGGTATGGGGGGGGCATGTGGGTTTTTAAAGAATTTTCCTTTGCAGAGGCTTCATTTCATCCTTCATGAAGCTGTTCAGGATTTTGACTTGCATATAAGCGCTTGGCTCTGCCTTCTGTTCTCCTAGTGAGTGTGTGAGACCTTGCAGTGTATCCGCATAATACTCAAGTAAATTTTTTTCCCCCTGTTTTGGAGGGAAGGGAGGAGGGGGTGGGGCTTACTTGTTTTAGCTTTTTTTTTACAGACCACACAGAGAATGCAGTTGTCTTGACCTCAGGTCTGTCTGTTCTGTTGGCAAGTAATGCAGTACTGTTCTGATCTGCTGCTATTAGAATGCATTGTGAAACGACTGGAGTATGATTAAAAGTTGTGTTCCCCCCCAATGCTTGGAGTAGTGATTGTTGAAGGAAAATCCAGCTGAGTGATAAAGGCTGAGTGTTGAGGAAATTTCTGCAGCTTTAAGCATTCGTGTTTGTGATTGAAGTCAAGTACCTTTTGCTGTGCTTCTTTAGGTAAAATGCTTTTTGTTCACTTCTGGTAGGGGGCGGTGGGGAGGGCACTGAAGCCTTTAGTCTTTTCCAGATGCAACCTTAAAATCAGTGACAAGAAATAAATTCCAAACAAGCAACAGTCTTCAAGAAATGTAACTGGCAAGTGGAAATGTTTATCAGTTCAGTGGTCTTAGTGCATTGTCTTTGTGTGGGTTTCTCTCTCCCCTCCCTTGGTCTTAATTCTTATACGCAGGAACATTCAAAACAGCAGACGTATGCGAAGGGCCAGAGAAGCCAGACCAGTAAGGAAAAAAAAATAGCTTATTTACTTTAAATAAACATTCCATTTAAAATGTGGGGATTGGGAACCACTAGTTCTTTCAGATGGTATTCTTCAGACATGTAGAAGGAGCTTCCAGTTGAATTCACCAGTGGACAAAATGAGGACAACAGGTGAACAAGCTTTTTTCTATATTTACGTACCAAGTCGGATCCATGATGAGTAAATAATTTAGTGTTCAATAGTTTCAGCTTTATGCTGGAATGAATAGCATGTGAGCAAGCTGTTTGTTGGCCTGGGGGTGGAGGGGTGAGGTGGGCGCTAAGCCTTTTTTTAAGATTTTTCAGGTATCCTTCCCTAAAGGCACCGAAGGCTTAAAGTAGGACAACCATGGAGCCTTCCTGTGGCAAGAGAGACAACAATGCGCTCTTATACTAAGGTCAATAAAAACGGTGTCGGCCTCATAACCCCATCTTCTGTTAGAAACGAGGACTCGCCTCCACGCCCTTGGCAGACATGCACTGAGGCTCTTTTTGGAGAATGGAGCATCTAAAGGAATGCTTTGAGTACCTTGTATACTCTCGGGCCTGTCTGACCTTTGATTGTGCTGCTTTTACAGCAGCTCTTTAAAAAGCCCAAACGTCCAGTGACGGTTGAAGGGGAGGGAAAGGGGAAAGCGGGCAACCACTTTTCCCTAGCTTTTCCAGAAGCCTGTTAAAAAGCAAGGTCTCCCCACAAGTGACTTCTCTGCCACATCGCCACTCCCTGCCTTTGGCCTAGCGCAGACCCTTCACCCCTCACCTCGATGCCGCCAGTAGCTTGGATCCTTCAGGCCATGATCCATAATCGGTTTCAAGGTAACAGTGGTCCTGAGCTGTTCCTTCCGGTGGGTTGCACTACTAGAAGAGGCCATTAATTTGCCTGCAAATAGTTAACGTTATTAAAACCACAACTAAAAGCTCAAAGATAACTTTAAATCTATAACCCCATTATCCAGTGATTAAAACACTTAAACCAGTGAATGGAGAATAATGTTTTAAGACTGTCATGTTGGGTGGGAGAATCTACCTTGTAAACTGAAGAAACATCGGCGTTTTAGTCTCGAGGACTGTTGGGTGGGATTGCAAAAATTCTCTGCTAAGACTTTTTCAGGTGAACATAACAGACTTGGCCAAGCTAGCATCTTAGCTGAAGCAGATTCTCCAGTGTTCTTCAGTAGGGTTGTAAAGGTTTTTCTTTTCCTGAGAAAACAAGTTTTGTTTTCTCAGGTTTTGCTTTTTGGCCTTTTCCTAGCTTAAAAAAAAAAAAAGCAAAAGATGCTGGTGGTTGGCACTCCTGGTTTCCAGGACAGGGTTCAAATCCCTGCGGCGTCTTTGCTTGACTCTGACCTCTGTCTTCAGAACTCTTTCCGTTTTCCTTCTCTCTAGTTCTAGGCTTTTGGGGTTGGGGAAGGTGGGAGAGACTTTGTTAAATTCGTCAGAAACCAAAATCAGTTGGTGTTTATGTGGGATCCTTATGATAACTTGTCTCATTTTCAGGTAGTCCCCGTGCATCTAGTACATGAAGAAACCTCACTATTGAAAGCTGAAAATTTCCTACTAATAAAAATAAAAAGGAAAACTTTTCATATGTGTGATTCTTCTATGAACCAAACTTCTGTGCGTGAGCAGCTGAGAGAAGATGGGGCGTTTTGTGGGGGTTTGTCCACCTTGTTACTGGCTCGTGTGAAAGATCAGCATAATCTTCGAGTAGGGGAGTGACTTGAGGGAAGTGGTAGAGAGTCCACACAGAAGCAGCAGCAGCTTCGTCCTGCAGCAGCAGTTGGGGAGCTGGGCCGGGGTGTAGAGAAACAGCTGGGAGCGAGGAAGGAGAGCTCTCCATTGCTTCAGTGAAATAACACTTGCAGGCCTAGGGGCGCTTTGTGCGGTTAATAAGAAGTAGCTCTGTGGCCATCTGTTACTCCTGATAACACCCTTAATCAGTTGTTGGTGCCCCAGACAAGTTGGGTCACGGAGTCCCCTTGTTTTGTGGAACGGCCTGGATAGGTGGTCTTCAGGTCTTCCCTTTTCAGTTAAAGTGAAAATACTGAAATACCACCCTCCCCAGCCCCCCAATGAAACACCCTCATGGTGTTAACCTGGCTGCTAAGTCCCTTCCACTCCCAACTGACCTATTGCCTGAAGAGGTGGGAGAGGCTCATTCCACCCAGCCAAGCCTAGGAGAGTGGGGGACCCTGGTCTACAGAAGATGCTACACCCAGCAGAGGCCTCCCATCCTGGTTCACCTGATGGCCACAGATCAGTCCAGGGGAGGGGCCTCGGTGAACCGAATTTTTTTTTTCTACGTTACAACTCTGGAAGATGTTACTCGTGTTAAAAATGGAAAAGCAGGCTTTGGGTCGCTTTGCCAACCAATGTGGCAGGACTGGGATTTGACCCCTGGTCAGTCTCAAGGCTGACTCTGTTGCTGTTATTTCAGTGCGTGTGTCACTGTCCGCAGCAGACCAACCTCCAAGCCACCCAGCCCGTGCAGGCCCTGGGCACAGGGACTTCCTCTTCCCTTGAAGTGATCTCGTAAGAGGCAGATGGCAGGGAGAAGCCGAACCATGGTCCCCTGGACTTGATTGCCTATTCTGAATGGACGCCGTCTTAGGGTCTTTTGGAGAAAGGTCTTCGTTTTTTCCAGAGTTGGAAGCCTCCCCGGAAAGACTTCATTGCAAAGTAGTAAGAGAGAGAGAGAGAGAGGCCTGTATTCACTAGGGGCTACACGGTTCCTGGTGCCGAGCATGCTTAGGGTTGGCCAGGACTGGAAAGGTAAAGGCCAGACACAGAGTCAGGGACAGGAAGGTACAAAAGTAGGCCTGAAGCCACTGCTACCCTCTGAGTACGAAAGGGGAATGGAGAGCAGGCCAACATAAAGTTCCCCCAAAGATTATGTCCAACTTAAGAGGCTAGGTCTTGATATTATAGACAAACCCTAGGCATTTACACAACCCTCCAGCTGGACAACGTGCTCTCCTACCATGTTTTTTTTGTTTTGCATTTCATCACCCTGATCCTCCTGGGTGTCTCTAAAACAAACCTGAATTCAAGCGGTAGCTCCACATTTCCTGGCCTCACCAAGCTTCCCCTCAGGCCTCCCAGGCCCAGCCCAGTTGCTACAGATCCAGGCCGCAGATTTCCGACTTCGGTATAGGAACGAAGGCTAGGAGAGTGAGGGGACTTGGGGGGATGGGACAGAGCGTGGGGGAGAGCTGTGCGAGTGTCTCTCCGGGTTGTTGATTCAGAAACCCACAAAGTCCAGGAGATGTGGGTCAAGTCCTGGCTCCTGGCTCTGGCAGGTTGGCAAACATGGGGTGTCGCCCTCTCCGGGCCTTTGTTTTCCCACCAGTTAAATGGGGTTAAAGAAAATGGGTTAATGCCCTGTCTGCCTGCCTGCTGTGGTAAGGACTACACAAATTTGATGGAACTGGAAATGAGTGGGCTTTTGCTTCCCTCTAGTGGGTAAATGCAGCATTGCATGCACTGTCCTTGGAATGCTTCATAACCCGATTGAATGTTCAATGAACGTTTTCATTGCTAAGTAGTATTCCATTGCGTGGCTATTTGAGTTATTACCACTTTGTTGAAGTTAGGAACAAAGCTTCTATAAACATTTGCATACAAGTATTTGTGGATATATGCTTTCCTTTTTCTTGGTATGTTGCATAGGCGTATGCACGGTTTTCATGAAATTTCCAAACTGTTTTCCAAAGTGGTTGTACCATTTTGCATTCCCACCAACAGTGTGTGAGAGGTCTTATTATTCTTCATCCTCATAA